AGGATCAGGACCCCTAAATCTCGTTAATTCTGCTGAATCCATGCGGCTTGCACCACAGCACCTTCTGAACTGACCTCACAACGTGGATCCAGCCAGCGGTGCACACCGGTGCCAGTCCAGGGAGCTTCTCCCCAGTCGCTTCCCCGCTGTGTCCCTCTCGAGGGCCCGATCCGGGTGATGCTCCGAGCCGAGGGAGACTTGGTGCTGGCTTTACTTTTAGCTCAGCTGCACCACATGGACCCGAATCTCCTTGTTCCAGCCTCAGTGACAGCTGGCAGGATTGGGTCTTATTTTCCTTTTTTTCTTCTTTTTCTGGAATATATATGTAAAGCTTGTTTTTATCAGCAGCCTATGTATGTGGTCAAATGTGAACTTTACCAAGAAGGGATGACAGAAAAGACACCATATATTAAGACGCCTGTCACTCCACCCAGATTATCTTCTATTTGTTTTGTGGGCAAACAGCAAGCTTTTAAGGATTTTAATCCACAGCATTACAACCCACCAAACAAAAACAAGAAATGGGTTTCTCCTGGCAAATCAAGTCAAACTGGATTAAATCCTCCTGTCCAAAAGGGACTAGATAAATATTTTCCTCTAGGAGTCGACACCCTCAGCCTCTCTACATGCTAAAGAGGCAAGTGTGAGTTTAATGGCTATATAGATAGATAAGCCCTTATCTAGAGGATACAACACTTAGCTTCACAGTCTGCACACTTATTTATCAGTTGCTAATGGCTCCTGGGTTTATGGCACTTGTGCTTCAATTAGGGTGCGAACAGCCCCGGTTCTCAGTGTCAGGGAACAAGCGGTGCCCGGGAGCACAGCCCTGCCCCAGCGAGCCCCACACCCGACTTTTGGGGGGGGAAACAAGCGCTTGAGAGGGGATTTGGTAGAAAAATGGGGTTTTGTCAAGCCAGGTGCTGCTTTCAGCGAGCGACGTGTGCCCTGGGCATTAAAATGTGCCGGGGAGGGGCAGCTAGAGAGGAATTTCAGCTGCGTTCGAGAGAGCTCTGAGCTTGTTTAGATTTCTAGGGTCAAAGCGATCACAAAAGTTAATTTTATATTATTATTATTTTATTCGGGTTTTGGTTTTTTGGTTTGTTTGGGGGGTTTCCCCCCCCCTTTTTTTTTTTTTTTCGTGAACAATTCTCTTTACGGAAAAGAAAAGCAGGGGGGAAACATCTGGACCCCTTTTCCTTGATGCTGCCAGAGGAGGGATGCTGCCCGCAGCAGAGGGTTGGGAAGCAGAGCCGGCACCTCCGCCCAGGTGATATTTATGGCACAAAAATCCCAATATCCCGGCATACGATGATTACACTGCAAATACGTCCTTTCCCATCATGTAAAACGTTGAGATCGTTAGTTTTGGCTAGAAACAAACTATGTTACATGCAAACCGCTCTGCTAGTGGGCAGAAAATACACACTGCTGCTGTAATGTTTCTCATTATATTTTCCCTTTGTTCATAAAAATGACTGAGTTATTGCATAATGCAGGAATCAAGGAAGAGAGAAAAAACATCATAAAGATGGAAACGAAGACAGCTTGTCAGTTATAAGTGTAAATGAATGCTCGATTTCTTTTATAAAGCAATTCCGCTATAAAACTAGTCGTCTAAGTTAAAAAAAATATATAAAAAATAATTCTATTCTGACAAATAAATAATTCGTCTCCTCCACATTTAATCCAACCTTGAAAAACCTCCAGAAACTCGTCAGAGGGTTTTTTTGCCTTTCTTGATTCTTGAATTTTCCCCCAAATTTTGTGTGCGTGCGTTTTATTAGGTTAATAAAGCTCAGTTTTCAAGGATTTGGACGCCTCGGGGGTACAATCAGCTCGGATGTCAAATGCATCAAATAGCTAATGAAGGGATTTCAAAGGTCTCCGAAGTGTCCGTAGCAGCAACTCAAAGTGTCTCATAAAGGTGAAGCCCATTCTGGCTACAGTGTGTTTTGTCTGACGGTTTTCCGAGTACTCCAACTTCGATCTGCTGTTTTATTCCGATTTTATATCGGTTTTAAATGCCTCGGTCTCGCTGTCATAGGAGTTGTGGTCAAATCAAGTCAAACCATCATCCTGAAGCGAGGTCATGCCAGTTTTACTGGGAAAGGGCAAACGGGGAAGGCGAGGGGGGAACCCCAAATGTATCATGGGTGACAAGGATCGAGAGGGTAAAACGATGTGGGGGAAAGATACTTAAACAGGGAAGTATTTTACTATGTAAAGGTCTTGTTTGTGAAGGGGGTGGGGGGTGGAGGAGAGCAGAACAGCCTTTTGGTCTTTTTGCGTTTCATGTTTTAATTTCTTTTCTTTTTTCTTTTCTTTTCTTTTTCTTTTCTTTTCTTTTCTTTTCTTTTCTTTTCTTTTCTTTTCTTTTCTTTTCTTTTCTTTTCTTTTCTTTTCTTTTCTTTTCTTTTCTTTTCTTTTCTTTTCTTTTCTTTTCTTTTCTTTTCTTTTCTTTTCTTTTCTTTTTTCTCTTTTTCTTCTTTTTCTTTTTCTTTTTCTTTTTCTTTTTCTTTTTCTTTTTCTTTTTCTTTTTCTTTTTCTTTTTCATTTTTTATTTTTTTTTTATTTTTATTTTTATTTATTTTTATTTTTATTTTTTAATTTTTATTTTTATTCCCCCCCCCCCCCCCGATTATTCTTATTTCAAACTCTTTTCTGCTAAATAACTGCTCTTTCGGGGTGCGCAAGCGGGTGGCAGTGGGGGATGGAGGGATGCTGCGGCGGATCCGCCGGCTGCTCCGAGCGCTGCTGCCCGCCTCTGCTCGGCTCTGCCCCGGCCCAGGGCACTTGCCTCTTCCTCCAAGATTTTTTCCCTGGTTTACTCTTCATTTTCCCCACCAGCCTGGTGCTATTTTGGCAAAGCGAAAAAACAAGCGCCCCCCCCCCCCCCGCTTCCCATCCCTCGTCTCATTCGTGCGGGTCGCAGCTTCCCCCGGGTTTGCGGTGTGTTTGTGTAATTTCTGGGCCAATTAATTTGCCATTGCCAGCTTTCCTCCGCCTTTTCACAAATACAGAGCTCAATTAACAGAGCTGCAGAGCAGTACCTTTGAACTAAGCTTCTATAATAAATTACCCTCACTCCCCCTTGCAGATAGCTCTGTTTTCTTCCCCTCCCGAGACACAGGCGGTCAGTGAAGGAGCTCTCGCAACAGGCCGGTGTCTGCTGGAAAACCTTGCTGGCAGCTTGCTCTGTCATTTGTTACGAGTTCTTCTCGGCTGCCAAATTAAAGACATCACCCATAAAAAAAAAAAAAAAAAAAAAATTAAAATACTTTAAAAAAAAAAAAAAAATCCCTCTGCTGGATTTTTGGAGCCGCTCCCTCTGCTGTGGGGGACACCCCGAGCCTCGGTGACACCCAGGCAGGGGAGGGACGGGGATGGAGGGGGGGCCGGGACGGAGCCGAGCTGGGGCTGCGCTGAGGATGGCAGGACTCGAGGCTGTTGTCACCCTTGAAACAAAAGGGCTATTATGGAGCCCATAGATCAGCAGCAGTAAAAGCTTTCCTAAGGCACAGCTCTCTCTATGAGGTTATAACAGCAGTGTTAATCTTCTATTCAGTGTTTACAGAGCCAGCTCATCCGTGGGGTGGGTGGAAGGCAGCCAGCTCGCAAGAGAACGCTCTTTATTAAAAAATACGGAGTTGTGTTGCTTTTAGCAGTGACCCCGGAGCGTGTCCCGCATTTTTGGCGGAGGGCAGCTCCCCTTGCCCGGGGCTCACCCAGTGCCGGCCCTGCACCCCCCCGGGGGGCGGTAGGACGGGGGGGGGGGGGGGTGGTTGTCCAGCCGCCTTCAGCAGCGTCTGGCGGGGCCCCCCCTGGAAGAAAATCCCTTGCGGGGATTTGGGGGGGGGGGGTTACCTTCGCCTAGATGAGAGCCTCAAGAAGGCACACACACCCCCTCCGGCAATACGCGGCTGCTGCTGTACGCGGAGCGTGTCCGTGTCCGTGTCCGTGTCGCGTCCCCCCGCGATGCCGTCGCGCTTCCCGCAGCGGGCTGCTCCTCTCCCGGAGCTTTTCTTTATTCATGTATTTGTTTGGTTTACGTAAGGGGAAAGGGGTGGTGGAGGGGAAGACTTTCGGTCCGTATCAGCAGGCAGAGACCATCATTCCGAAACGGGAAGAAAAAGGGGGAGGAATTGTGGAAAACTTAGCAAAAACAGAGGCGATAGCTGTGAAAAAAAAAAAAAAAAAAAAAAAAAACCAACACAAAAAAACAAAAACAAACAAACAAAAACAAAAAAAACACCAAAACCAAAGCAAAAGCCCCACACAAAACCAAAACACAAACAAACAAACAAAAAATAAAACAACAAAACAAAACAAACACCAAGCCCAAAAGACCCCCAACTCTCATTTGCTACACCCATCCTTGTGAGAAACGCACTTTTAGAAGAAACACCAGCACGGAATTCCCGCATTTCTCCATCCCGCTTATCCCAGCCTGTAAGAAGGGAAGAGAATTCCTGGGAAGGGGCTGCGCATCCTGCGCGGAGGTGCGGGGAGCTGCCTTCCAGTTCCTTTTGGGGACAGATGGGCTGATGTCGGTATTTCTGCCAGTCCCTGGGCGGCTGCGGGGGGTCGGCCAGCGCCCCCAGCCCTGCCCTGCGCTCTGCCGCTGCCAGCGAAACCGGTACAACGGGGGGGCCCGCACCAGTGGGAGATGCTGGGGGTGCGCGGCCGCGTCCCTGGCCGCGGGGGATGAATTTCAGTGGGGTAAAAATACAGCCGTGAGAGGGTATCGCGGGTGGGAGCACTGCCCGCGGTGCGCAGCGCCCTGCGCTGCCTGCTCAGCCTGCGCCGCGCGGAACTGCGCGGGGCTGCGCGCCGCCCGCCGGCCCCCGCTCCCCTCCCTGCCAAAACGCGCGGCCCGCGCGAATTTGTTGCATTTCCTCGATTGATTGTTTAGTTAGAGATTTTGCCAACTTCCTGATGGTTCATTTTCTGATTCTGAAAAAAAAAAAAAAAAAAAGGAACCGCATTTCCTTTTTGACTTAAGAGGGAGAGAGAGAGAGAAGCGGAGGCTGGGGGCTGGTGAACTCATCGAGCTGTATGTACTGGACTTTTTCTCTTCCCTCTCCCCGTCCCGAAACCCTCCTCCTCCTCTTCCTCTTCCTCCCCTTCCTCACTCCCACTTTCTGCCTTGCAAAATCCCGCCGGGCTCCTGGGACAGCGCTGGGCAGGGGGAAGCTGCACTGCTGCTCCGCCAGCTCCGCTGGCCCAGGCTGGAGGCTTTGGATTTGCTTCCTTTGCCTTAAATTGCTTTGAATTATTATTTTTTTTTTCCTTTTCCTGTCTTTTATTTCCCATTTCGCATCCTATCCTTGCAGTTCTTGTGGCTATGACAAGGGATCCAACTGCAGAAAGAAAAGTAAACACAGAAATCTGTTCCACTCGCTTTTATTTGCTTCGGGGTTTCTGTTGTTGGGCTTGTCTATTTTACTATTATTTCGATTTTTATTTTTTTTTTTTTAAGCAGCAAGGCTACTCTTTACACTGTTTTTTTCTTTTTTTCCCAGCTCTTCTGGCTTTAACTGCTGCCTCTAATCCTGCTGGGTTTAAAACTATAGCTTTCTTATAGTTGTTTTTTATCCCTAACCTTACCATACTAGAATATGCTTGAAATAGGTGGTAGTGGGGCACAAACCTTGGTGTAAGCATAGCACGCTCTATTGAAAATTACTGTCTTTTCCCCCCAGCCCCCCTCCTAAACGGTTTTTGTGCGGCCTGATGTTTATCATTCAAATTAGTGACTTCAGACCTGGCTGCAGCAGGTCAGGAGCTGAAGAAGCGCAGGGCCCTATCCCAAACCTTCTGAAATCAGCGGGAGCTTTGGATCAGGCCCTACAGAAATAAATTAGAGGAAAACCCTGGGTACAGTGTAAAGGAAAGTATATGCGAGTCAGAGAGAATGGTGCTTTGTTCAGCTGCAACGGGGAGAGGGGAGAGCAAAATCCAAACTGTTTTCTGATAGCCTTATGTCCCAGGGTATTTAACGAGGGTGGAGACCTTAAATCATCTTCAAATCATGGCCTGGTTTGGGAGTCAGTCCTAAAAGTTGCTCAAACTTGATTTGCTGCAGGAGTGAAAAAGCAGCGTAATTCACCCCTATATTCTTATATATGTGCATAGGTAACCGTGACTGCATTTGTCAGCAGCGACGCACGCCTACCTATGAGTCTGCGCCTAAAAGAATTCCTGGGAAGGTGCACACACACACACACACACACACACACAGGTGTGGGTAATGCAGCGGGAAGCAGCTCAAACGTGCAAAAATCAGTTTAAGGCACATTTATTCCCCGTCTCCGAGCCCCGGTCTCGGTTTCTCCACGTGCATCTGGCTGCAAAGGGCTGTGTACGCGTGTGCCGGCGTGTTCCGGGCTGCGGGAGCCGGGGCGTGGGGGTGGGAGGGGTGGGGAAGATGAAACCGTGTCACGACCACGCGTCAGAGCCGGGATTAGCGCAGCCGAGTGGATTTTCGCGTTGCTTCGCGGCTCCGAGTTTTCTGCCTAACAGGAACGGGGGCTTTCTGCGAAAATAATAAATCTAAGCTACCACATCAGCTGCGCACCCCTATAAACCCCAGACTCGTGCTTTAGAGACAGGGATGGGTTGAGACAACGCTACTCATTTCAAGTGTTGACATCTAGCAAGGCAATCAAAATATTTGCCCAGCCTTTGCTACAGGATTTTGTTATTCTTCCATTGAAACTATTGCTTTGTAAAGCTTTTTTTTTTTTTTTTTTTTTTTTTTTTTTTTTTAAAAGCTGTTAAAGCTAAGCAAAGATTTCTATCAGGAAAAAAAAACCTCTCGGCCTGTGCTAGGTGCGGGCTCTCCATTAGATGGCATTGCTCGGTTGGCAGTGCGAGAGGGAAAAGTGGCTTCGTGCACTGGTCATCTTCTACTGCCGGGACATGGGTTTGCATTGCCATTGAGAGCGTATTTATCTTTTCAGCACTTGTTCTATACTTCTAGTACAATTTGCTTTATCAACACCCAGTTTAATAATTTTATCGGGGAGGTTTCTGGATCAAGAATGAAAATCGATACCCGCTTGCCCTAAACGCTGCACGTTGTGTCTGCTTTTTATGCAATTAGAGACGTTATAAAAATAATTAGTTACCATATAACACTTAAAAACCATAACAGTCAAGCATAATGTATAACAGATTATACACAACCCTTTCCTGTTTTCTAAAGGTAATTCAGTCCTTATCTTGCGGGGTAGCTGTGCACATTGGCAAATGAATTTTAGACACTTTACGAATTGTGGGTATGTTGTATGCTGTGCAAAGGCATGATGGTAATAAGAAAAAAATGTTTTTTTAATGTATATAGCACAAATTGGTTTTGATCTGAGAGATTATAGATGGAATTTTAAATAATAAAAAGAATTCCAATTCTAAAAAGGAAAAACAATTAAATTATAAATCAATCAACAAAAATTTTTTTTCTACTCACAGTAACATTCTGTCTGTGGGAGTTCTGCTTTTACATCTCATGCCAGCATTTTTTTTTTTTAATTTCAAAAAATCCTTTAATTGTTAAAAATAATCTATTTTGTTTGCAAAGACAGAGATCGTTTTAATCATAAAATAATTAGCCTAATTTAATTTACACTGCTGAAATCTCATTAACTAAATTAGAGCCAGTCCTTTATTTACAATGAGGTTAGCAAGAGCAGAATCAATCTCAAACTGTTTGCTATTGTTTGTTTTGGTTTGGTTTTTTCCCCTGACTTCTTGCTGTCATTTAATTTAAAGGGCAGACTTCACATTTATCCTCATTTGGGAAAAATGTTCTAAAGAATTAAATCTGTATTCTAATCTCAAGCCACTGTGTTTAAAGAAGGAGTTTCCCTGAATGGCTTTGAAACATCCTGATTCACAAAGATTGAACTGTATGTTTTGTCAAAATTATGACCAGTAAGCTATATTGGAAATGTTATCTTGTTTTATATATATATATGTTGAAATATCTACACATACTAATGGCTAAATAGATTCTGAAGCATTTGTTTTGTTTTGTCTAGAAAAAATGGGGTTTATTTTAGGCTATGACATTTTCTCATAGTACATTTTTTTTTTCCAGTTTTGTCTTCTTTACTGTACCTTTCTTTCACTGGATTAATTATCTGAGAAAATACTAAAAGTCTTATCTGTTGGTTTTCTTTTAATAACCCCTAGTGCTTTCCTATGGTCTCATGAGAGGGAATATTATAGACATTTTGACAACTGAAGTTTTCAAAAGCTTTTTTTTTTTTTTTTTTTTTTAATGTAATGGGCACATAATGGCACTTCTATTTGTATATGTGAGTCAGTGATGATTAATTTAAAAATTTCTTTGTAATACCTTAGATTTCTAGACTCCAGAAATAATAAATTGAGTGTTCATGTCCCAGATACATTTTAAAATGTAAGTTTCAAATACTTTCCCTGTAACATCTGTAAGAGCCCAAGATGGTGAATTAATACCAACATCTATACTGATATATCTGAAGAAAAATGGCTTTAACTCTCAGGAGCCCAATGGGAACATCCTAACCCAGTTCTGCATCAAATAAGCATGTTGATGACCAAAATTTTGTTTGTTCAAAGGTCATTTTTGCCCCTTGCAGAGTCAGGGTGGGACCATAAAATTACGTGGCTCATTCCATCAATTTGTGTTCTATTATCTAAGGTTGTAGAAATGCAAAACAGTTTTTTCCCCTTGTATCAGTTTGCAGCTAAAACCAGAAGGGCTGAAGCCAGGGAAGAGAGCGACAGTCAGCTAAAACAAAACAAACACAGCCAGAGCGAAGTGTGATTTCCAAAAGGAGAATTTAAAGTCATAGCAGTGGTTAATTCGGCAACGCTGAGCATCTTCTGCCCAAAGGCACGGGCATGTTATGTTCCCATTTCAAGCTTTGTGTAACTTCTTATTTCATTATTTTTCCCTTTTATTAAGGTGCATTTACTAGTGTTTTTTTTTTGTTGTTGTTGTTGTTTGGGTTTTTTTGTTTGTTTGGTTGGTTGGTTTTTTCTGAAGTAACCTCTGTCATTCAGTGCCAATATTCTAGCAAACTGAAATTTTTGCCCTCTGCTCAGTGTAGTAATAATGATATCATCACCCTGAGCTGAAACAAAGCAGGACTTCATTTTGGGGGCAGAGGGATATGATAATCAGGGAGAAATCAGAGACCAGATCTGAAACTAGGAGAAATTGGTGAATTTCCATGAAAAATCAATGAGGAGCTGGAGTGATTTTTTTTTTTCCCCCCAGGTGGAAGAAAACTGATATCAAAGTCAACAACCTCAGAGCTTACCCCAGTCTGTGGAAATTTCAATATACATTACCTGCTTTTGACCTTTAGCAGGGCAGCAGAATAAGCAGCGCACAAATGCTGGGGGAACGGCACGGCACCCAAACACAGTTTCTCTTTCATACAAGAAAATCAGATGGAAGAAATGTAAACATATTTTTCTGTGACAGCTTGCAACTAGAATCATCCCCTCTTAAAAGATACATACTGAAATGGTCAACGTGGTGATAGTATTTAAAGCATTTTTGTGGCTTTTTCAAGCATGATAAGGCCCCGGGTTTGATTGTAGCTGAAACTCCTGGAAAGTTCAGCAGAACAAACAAACAAACAAAAAGGGGATGTGTGAGCTCTCAGGGGTCAGGTTACCCCACTTGCATATTCATCACCAAGTGACGTCTCCTCTAGTAATTTTTAACTACATTTTAGGGTAGTTGCACGCTGCAAATTGTTTGGTTAGACTCTTTTTCATGAGAGAATCAAATATATGCAGCATTTAGGGGAGTAAAAGATCATGGGATGAGGCTTGAGAGATTCAAATTGTGGTCTTGGGCAATGATGCAAGTCTAAATAAATGCTTAAAAACTCCAGGAAAAGTTCGGCGTACAGTCCTACTAGTTAAAATACAGAAGTAATAATAATACTATATATAAAAAAAAAAAAAAAAAAAAAAAAAGGAAGGGCCAAACTCTGCTATAAGCAACCATAATGAAAATTGCATTGCGGTAATGACTATACAGGCCAGTTT